TTTACATACTAAAAATATATTTTTTTCTTGTTAGAGAGAGAGAGAAAGGGAGAAGGAGAGAGAGACTGAAACATCCATGAGAGAGAAACATCAACATGGATTGGCTGCCTCCTCCATGTCCCCTACTGGGGACAGAGTCTGAATCTGGGCAGGTGCCCTGACTGGGAATGGAACCAGCGACCTCTTGGTACATGGCTCAAAGCTCAAGCACTGAGCCACACGGGCTGGGCTCGCTCCCACTTCTCTGGTGAGGAAACTTAGGTTCAGAAAGTTTAAGGAATTGTGGGTTACCAGTGAACGATTCCACCTTCGCACCCCGATGTGGTGGGTTTGGAGCATCCCTAACACGTGTGAACGAAACAAGACACCACAATGGGGCCCCTGCAGCATAGGGAGCCAGGGACCCACCGCCGTCAGTAAACCGAACGCTATGCTTCCAGAGCGGCCTGGGGTCGCACGGTCACATCTGACAGCTGGTTTGTGTTGCATGTGTAATTGACTTTAGCCCAAAGATGAGTTTTACCTCAACTGTCATTAAGAGCAACCACTCCTTCCCAAAGACATCTCTATTTTGTACTTAATCCTTAAAAACAGAGTAATTTTACCTCCCACTAAGTCTCATCTTGCTACTTTGCTTCAGGGTTCTTCCACTGTCTACTCCACACATAAATTCCGACACATGCGCCCTTAGTCACCTTTAAAGCTCTGTATCACTTAAAAAGTTTTTCTTTTGGTGCCTTCATCCAAGACTTTGATAAAAAAACACACAAAACAACTTATTTTAATGGAGACCAAAGACTGAAGGACATCTTTCCCAGGGTAGTTTTTCAATGTCTGTGTACCTATCACACCCTGTGCACCTTCCCAGCCAAGGTTTTACGTTCCCAGTTTGTATAAAGACAAGAGGTATTTGAATATGTTTTTTCAACTGGTGCCTTATTCCCACCTTGAGAACCAGGCCACTGATTCACAGCCATTTTTCTTATTCAACTGGTTAGCTACAAATAAATCTGTTTCGCTTTACCATGTCCAAAGTTCTCCATCTCCAGCAGTGAGCACGTTTTTTTTTGTTTTGTTTTGTTTTTTTTTTTAGTACTACTGAAGTCTGTTGTAAAACTGAAAACATTCTGCTGGCAAAGGTTTTTGTGACAGAAAAATGTTACTTTTAAGAATATCAAATTCATAAAAATACTTTATTATAAAGGAAAGTAACTGATCAACATTGCCCTGCCACTCCAAACACGCACAGTGACAGTAAAAGCAATACTGAATGGTGTCCCAAGTTAATTACAAAATGAAAATTCTGTCCTCGAAAACACAAATGACCTATAATGAATTTGGATATAAATTAAATTTAGCAGAATGGTCAACATTACATATACCTTGGTCAGTCCTGAGGCATTTATTCTTCCCACACAAAACACTACAAACTCTTCTTTAGAAAACTCTTGTAGCTGTGACTAGAGGGTTGCCAAGTAACCCTATTCATTCCATTATACTGTATAATGGAATCAATAGAAAGACTCTCCTTGAAATTAACAAAAAAAAGCTGCTCTTGACTTGGATCAATTTTTCCAGAAAGTGAATCCACAATGGAAAAATACAACCTCTTTCAAGGTGACCGAAGTCCTTTAAGCTTCATAGCAAAACACAGGTAGAAGTATATCATAGTATCTCTCCATTTCCAGAATAAACATCCAAATCAATAAATGAACATGTTGGACTAAGATTTTAGCCAAAATCAAAGCCAGGAAAATGCAAGAAATGAATCTGAGCATGGCGATCTTAGGTAGGGTACTTGAAACATATATTTTACTCCCCACAGCAACCCGCCAATATTTGTCAAGTTATACAATGACAAAAATTCTATAAATATATGATAGACTAAACAACTTTAGATCCAATAATTGATTTTCAAAATATACAACATTTTCTATGTTCCTGCAATTTGTAATAATTTAGTAACCCAACTCCATTCGTAGCCTTACTGACATTTTCAACATGAAATGGATTTGAATTTTCTGTTCCAAGAAAACCATTGAGTGCATGAGTGTCTTCTGCAAAATATAACAGGAATGATATGGGGGCTATAGACAGAGAAAGCAGAGATAAGTGAATGTGGGACATGGGAAGTCAGGTGAGCTCGGTGCTGTTTGTGTCATGAGGAGAGAGGAATAGAAATGTGGAACCCACAGGGTACACTGCCCATGAGCCTGGGAGCAACTCTCGCACACCCAGCTGAAGAGATGAATTGTGTGAGCATGTGGTGGGAGGGGCTGGTGTAGAGAGGTGGATAATATCCCTGTGTGACAAAGGGCAGGGGCCTGGAGGCAGGAGGAATGAGCTCTTTGAATGAAAATGTTAACTCTGAAATGGAATCACTTGGTAAAAGAGCAAACTACTCCCTCCCGGCAGAAGATGCCAGAGACTTGCTCTTACACCTTGAATTCATGCCCTGCATGTACGCTCCATGCTATTTGGGGAATTGAGCGATCACCCGTCTCCACAGCTATGAACAGGCCTTCTTGTTGTCTGTTAACGTGGGTTCACTAAACATCTCAGACAAATGTCATTCAACTGTCTATTCTCTGAGAGGAATCTGTTTTCTTGACCAAAAGAACACTCAAGCTGCAATGCCCACCACAATGTGTGTTTTACAGCTTACTCGTTCTCTCGGCAAGAAAAAGACACCCACAGTTCAAATCACCCCACCGCTCCTTGGTACAGACATCTCCAAGTTACTACCATTAAACAACTGATGTGACCATAAAATATTCAAATAAAAAATGCCAAATTCATTTAAATGATAGCTCATAGCTAGGATATAAAAGAAAACTTGATTTTTAAGGCCTCCAATTTGTTTTCCCTATCATGGAAAGTGTTGGAGATTTAAAAAAAAATACCACTTTTTTCTTTTGATTGTAACATTTGGGGGAAATTACAAAAGTATTTTTAGTAATCTGACCCCTGTTAGAAACTTTGGAAACAATTTTGTATTTAGAAACTAGGTCTGAGTGTTTTTCCAGAGTTTTGAAAAAATAGAGGCATCATGTATGTATTATGCCAACATTCCCCAGCTCTCAGTATCTGGGACAGGAAAGTTTAAAAATAGACTCTTACCTCCACATCACAGGTGTACTCTGAGCCGTCTAGAAGGATCACTTTGCACTGCATGCTTTTTGGCTTTTTGACAATCTTTAGTGGAGATCGAGAGAGTTTACTGCTATATGATTTCTGAGAGAGTTTATCGTCTTCCAGTTGCTGATATTCGAGCTGTTTTGCAGCCCCGGCAGCAAATTCCCGTTCCCTGTCAGTGACCTGTGAAGAACAATGAATAGTTTTCACTGCAAGACAGGGAATAGATACTGCATTGCTCAGGCAGTACCAGAACCCTTTAGAATCAGGCATTCCTATTTCCTAACGGATGAGAGGCACCCGAATTAGGATACCAGAAAAGGATAGAAATATAGACATTTATGATGCTAACAATTTTACCTAAATAACTTTTGCCGTTGAGATGCACCAGTAGGGCCTTATTTCAGCTCGACTCAAGGCTGTACTTTGAAGACTGAGCAAATGCCATTGAGACTTCACTGAGCAAAGAAGGAAAGCAAGCAGAATCCTGGGTTTTTAAAAGGCATTGGATAGTAATGGTTTTTAAAATAAATCATCTAGATTTTACCTATTGGATTTAGTTTTCTTCATTCACTGGACCCTTGTATATTCTAAGACCCATAACTACCAAATATACATACAAGCTATCTTATAACTTTAAGACCTACAGAACTTCAAGTATTCATTGTCTCAGTAAGTATACAACTGTTAAAATATTTGATTTAGCTCTAAATCAATTCAATGGAGCCATTAGCATTGAGATTCATCACAAAGTAATCCCCTAAATCCACTTCCCTTCATTGTAATGAGCCAGCATAAGAACAGAGAAAATCTGTCCAAAAGCATTAATCTGCTTTCAAATCACAACAGTCTAGTCCAGGCCAGACTCAGAACGGCAGAGGACATCTTACGTTAACAATAAAATTCTCCCTTGAATCTCTCTCCTTGGAATCTCTCTGCGCACTGCTCTCTAACTACTCCTTTTACACCCCTTATCTATCAATTAAATGACCACCAATCGTATCAGTGCAAATTCAACACATGGGCTAGACTACTGCTCCACTGGCCTCCAAATATACACTGACAGTCCAAAGAAAAGTTCCTTCCAAAATTCAGTTTAGGCTCCTCGAATAAGCGTGAAATTTCCTCTCTCATGAAGCTACCATCGTCCTAGTAGCTAAGGGTACATGGGCTGAGAGCGAAGACAGTACTGACAGTCTATAATTTCAATGTTTCTTCTTTATTAGCCTCTACAATTTTACAACACTCTAATATAATCACAAAGTTATTTTTCCCTATCTTTACTTTGGATTTTAGGTATAGATTCCTGCTTTTATGATGGCATCTTATGTTACATTCAGAAGATTACAAATACAGCCCTTTCCTCCACTACCTTGCCCAGGAATTCAAGGCAAAGTCTTGAGAAGTTCTGAAGAATAAACAAACAAACGAACACCATTTGCTGAGCAAAGGAACTGCAACAGGCTAGTAAGCCAGGACAAGCGGAATAGGGAAACTGAGACAGACAGTTAAACAAGCAGTTTGCAGCCATCTAGTAAATCCTATCTTCCTTAAGCTAAGGACACTTAAGAGTAAATGGTTTGCCTTTCTCCTCCCCAACCAGAGGGTAGATAGCTTAAATCACCCTCTTCAGGGAGATAGATGGCAGAAATCCAATTAGTGCCATTTGTGTCAATCATACCCAAGGACAGAAGAAGTTAAAGGAATCTAATTTTGGCACATCAGCATAAAACTGATGAATATTCTATTGAGATCCTCCCCTAAGACCTCCTCTAAACTCCTAGCCTTTAAAACCCCTCAACACAAAGGTCCCAGGGGCACTCTAGCTCCCAGGAGCACACCTGAGCCTTTCCCTTCCACCTCCCTCTCTTCTTTCCCCATAGGCTCCTGGACTCTGAGAGGGGGCAGGCTGGGCTGAGGGACCCCCGCTCCCCCTTAGTGCACAAATTTTCATGCACCGGGCCTCTAATATATATATATACACACACACACACACATATATATATGGCTAATATGCAAAGTGTCCCCTTGGGAGTTCAACAGGGAGACCGGGATTTCGATCACTCGCTAAGATGTGCACTGACCACCAGGGAGCGGCGTGGAACGAAGGAAGGCCCTGGCCGGCAGCCGGGGTAGGGAGGCCCCAGTCGGTAGCCGGAAGGAAGGACCCGGCCAGCAGCCGGAAAGCCCCGATTGGCCCTGATCACCTGCCAGACCTAGGGACCCCACCTGTGCATGAATTTCGTGCACTGGGCCTCTAGTATGCTATAAAAAAGAAAGAACTCTTAACATTCACAACAGTATGGATGGACCTGGAGAGGATTATGCTAAGCAAAATAAGCCAGTCAGAGAAAGATAAATATCACATGATCTCACTCATTTGTAGAATATAATGAAACATAAGCTGGCGAACAAAAATAGATCCAGAGACAGAGAAGCATTGAAAAGACAATCAAACTTCAGAGGGAAGGCAGGGGAGGTGGGTAGGGGTAAGAAATCAACCAAAGAACTTGTATGCATGCATATTAACATAACCAATGGACACAGACACTAGGGGGATGAGGGCATGTGCTGGGGGGTGGGAGTGGCCGGGGAGAGGTCAATAGGGGAAAAAGGAGACACATGTAATACTATATATAATACTTTAAACAATAAAGAATTAAAAAAATTAAAATTTAAAAAAAATCAAGAGCATAATTAAAGCCAGCAGTGTGATGTCTAGCCTTTATGTAAACCCAGATAAAACCAATAACCTGCTGTCCAGATTTCAGTGTGAGTTTAAGAGCTTTAATCAAATGGAGGAGTTGCCAAGCAAGGTTGTGGAATGTCATTCACTGAAAGCCTTAAAATAGCGTAAATTTTCAACTGCCTAGGACCAGAAGGGGCGAAGCAGATGACCCCTCATAGTTCCTGCTAGTGCTAAGAGACCAAGGTCAGACCAGACCCTGAAAATGCTCAGTAAATATTCTTTAATTGGTTTTCTGGCTGCTGCAGGGGTGCGGGGCCCCATGGGTGCCTTGGGCTCACCTCCTTCCTCACGGGGGTGCTGTGAGCTGCAGCGGCTGAGAACTGCTCCAAGGCCTGGCGCTGCTCCTCTGGTCCCGGCTGTGCCCTCTCAGGACCCTGCGGACCCGCTGCCTCCTGGGGCTCGGCCTCCTGCTCGGGCTTGGATTCTGAGTCTGAGCCAGATTCGGTCGTCATGGTTGATTGTTCTGCAAGCAGAAGAAGGGAAAGTCCCGTCACTGGGTGCAATTACCTTCCCTAAACAAGAAAACCAGGATGCTACACAGGATGGCTGCAGAGAACCACAGTACAAAGATGGAGAAATGCTAACAACCAAAGCATGATCCTACTGCACACAACTAACTAACGACTTGTCAAATTTAGCATGAAGATGGGTGCCCGTGAATGGTTCCAAATTAACGTTTAACTAAAGTAAAAGTTGATTGGTAATGATCACCGGTTTTATTCCTCTTACGTTTTTGATGATCTAATTAGGGAAGGGCATATTTTTTCTCTTCCCCTTTCTCCTTCCTATCTCTAGGGACCCTGTTCTGCCTCTCCCACCCCCTGAATCTCTCCACGCTTGCATGAACAAATGCCTTTCTCTTTGATTTCTCGTTGAAGCAACTACAGCAGAGGCCTCTCCAGTGACATGGAATCTGTCCCACTTTGGACAAGCACTGGCCACGGCTGGAGGGAAGCTGGACAGCATCACCTCTTTCTCCCTCACAAGTTCATTCTCATAGGCTTCTTCCTGGCTTCCTTCTATTTCCCTTGAATGTTAAAAGGGAAATATCTCATACACTCAAACAATAGATCTTAATTATAATAATCTGCTCTGACATCCTAAAAGAGACGTTATAATATAACCACCATCTTCTAAGCATTTGCTGGTCAAGACACTTAAGTATGTTGTGCCCCAGTTTCTACATCTGCTAAATGCGGGAACTGGACCTGATCGTATCTAAAGAACGTATTTTCTGGTGCTACTTTCCCCTCTGCGAACAGACATGCCATTTTATTAAAGCAGCTTTTTGCTCTAAGCAGCCACAGAGCTGTTATGCCTGTGGTTAACACATGTCATTGTAAGTCATTTCTTATCTTGGGTATGTGGGAACCACCTCAGAAACAAATATTTCAGATTGTCATAATTTTTTCCTTCCTGATTCTAATTTTATGGTAAAAATATCATGAGCAAAGGGCTAGTTTAATCCTTTAAGCACACGATACACATATTAGTGTAATGTAAAATTATGCAAAATAAAACTCTGTAGTAAAACTACTTAGTTCCTACCTTCAAAAACAACACTGGAATATGTTTAGTAATTTGAAGGGGAAACATAAAAATTAAATACCAATCTATACAATAAACTAATGCTATATCAGTGCTTTTATGTAGG